ACAGACTAACAGCTATCTTATGCCGAGACTGTCGGAACGAGGTATCGAGTAGTAGTAGTAGTGGAGGCGAAGCTCGGCGGGACACAGCCACTGTAAACAACAGGCACGTACGCGACAACCGAGTACACGCCCGAATGGGCAAACACCGTGTATCTTTACCACGATGGCGTTCGTCCAATCAGAGATATCGCCGCACAGAGACGGAGATTAACGTCCTATTAACCCATTAAAGCCCGCGATCACCTTGAGACCTCTACGAAGTGCATTTTGTTGTAGAATATTTGTGCCGCTGACGCTTTTCGTCACTCTCGAGGTGCCGAAACCGAAGAAACGGCCTGAATATCTGAAAAAAGATGCGTAATTGCGAAAAATTATTAAACATAGAAAGAATGGTTTTGTTAAAATATCTAAAAATTTGATCAGATGCAGATCTGAAAATAATTTTCTTAGTTCTTCACAGTAATTATGTAGGACATTCAAATCGCTTGCTAGAATATAAAAAAAATGTTGCGGTCATTACCATCAGGGTTTTAAGCGTTTTGCATAATAATTTTGATGGCTCAAAATTATTTCCAGATCTCTACCTGGTTAAATTTTTTTACTAAAACCTTTCCGGTTGAGCGAAATCAAGAGGTCTTTTTTGCGAAAGAAATTATTATTAATTCTTGATTGCGTCAGAGTAAAAGAATAGAAATAAAAATACGTATCGCAGGAATACTAAATCTTATCGCTAATAAATGTACATTATATATCCGATTTTAGAAGTTAGTTAATTTTACATATCGCGTAATATCTCTTTAAGAGGAGATATTACGTATGCATGAACAAGATGAGGAAAGAATAATAAAATAATAAAATTAATCGACACGTGCCGTGTCGATTAATAGTAACAGACATTCTACCTGACATTTCAGGGACTGCCTGATTTATTTAGCGCTCGTCTCTTGCGAATTGCCTTCGCGGGATGATTCGTCTGTCTCGAAAAGAAGTTTAAACCTCGTGCGACGTCCCGCAAATATATGTCCGCGTGATTTTTTAGCGCGGTTTACCCCGAATGGCGCCAACGCCAACAGGTAAGTGTAGAAATACGCAACGACCGCTACGAACGCGTATATATTTTCAGAAGCCCATTCTTAGCGCTCGAGGTCGTTAATATGCAAATGTGCACAGCCGTTCCAGCCGAGTGCCTTATACCGCGTGCAGGATTCGGCATGTAAAGCGACTCGTCCGGAGAAGTCGCACAATCGAAATACCATCGTCTTCGGTCATCACCTAACCGAATGATGTGCTCCATAATCTGGATGCGATGCCACGCACAAGTCGACGAATGAAACAACGACGACGACGACCGATCGCTCCGATCCCGTGATTAATTAGCAACACGAAACGTCGCTAAAGCAGTCCTTCCTCCCTTTTCTCTCTCTCTCTCTCTCTCTCTCTTGTTTTTTTGCAGATCGATCGAGATCCGTCCGGCACTGCGCGCGCGATTACGACAGCGAGCGAGTGAGTCAACGGTACGGCGATTTGCTCTATTTGTCACCGACAGTGCTCCACAACGAGGATTATTGCTGTCATTAGCTCTTTGAACGATCGCTCGGCGCAGAATCGTTATTATATGTCGGTTTATTTCTCGCCGGAGATTAGAGACGCGAGATACGTCGCGCGACAACGTCGCTTCTCAATCGCAGGCGCGTTTTAAGTCACTCGAAACGTAAAACCGACTCGTTCCACCTTACTTTAAATGGCACCGAAAAGCAAGGGGTAATTAAAATTATGCTAATTTCAAACGTTACCCGCGAAATATAATTATCGAAATAAAATTTTATCGGGGTTCATTCATCAGGCCTGATATAGCCGGCAATAATCGGTGCCGATGTATGCAAAAGTCGCGCGATAACATCGAAATGTTGTTTGCGCCGGTACACCGCTCGTAAATCAACAATAGAAAGCTCGACAGCCGTACCGAAATGTATCTATTACGCGCCGTTCTCTCCGTCTACGATCATAATTTTCTCGCTTTCCTTGACGGCAATCTGATTCCACGCAGCCGCGGCAAATTGTGCAAGTAGATCGAAGTTATCGAGACCTTCGGATCAAAACGCGCGCGCATTATAATCCCGACGCTAATGCATAATGAGTCTGATATATCGGGGAAACGGTGTCAATGTCAATATATGTTGGATGCCGCGCGCGCGCGTTAAGCATGGCCGATCGCCGCAAAAATTTTCGACGGAAATCCTTCGAATTAGTTCGTGAAGCTTCCATGAAAGAGACCAACGTAGTATCGCAAATAGTCTGTTACACTGAATGATAGATTTCATCATAATAAAATATCTCAAGATTCAACTTATCTCCGTTTGATATATTTAAAATTCAGCATATTTAACATTCTTTTGGGGGAGGGGAGTTTATAGTTGTGTTACAAAAAAAATTATTCTTATAGTTCCTTTTTTTTATCATTCATCAATATATTCGATTCATTAAAAAAAATTTTTTTTATAATATTAAAAATTAATATAAAAATTAAATTAATATAAAAAATTAAAAATTTTTTTATAATAACGTTTAACATCTTGATTTATGCTTTTTTAAAATTTATTTTGATTTTTAATTAAAGTTTGAAAAAGATTAGTTAGTAGAAAGATTAGTAGAAAAGTTTGATTAATCTTTTTGCAACTTCGATCGTTAGATTCGATCGCTTTAGATAAAATTATTTTCTAAGATCGATCTATTTCTGAAAACGCTAAAAAAGAAAAGATAAAACTTGGTTCAATAATTCCCGAAAGAAAGATACATAAAAATAAAACATTATGATTTTGCAGGAAAGCGCTTTAAAGATTTGAAAAGACTTGAAAAATTCAAGAGATTATATATTTAATCTTTCCAAAATGCGTCGAGATGCGTCTGAAAATTATTTCAACTAGCTTTAAATACGTAATGATGAATCTATTCTTTATCTATTATTAATTTCTTTTTTAAAAATATAGAAAAGATCGATTTTTTTATCAATTCAAACTGCACTGCACGTAACGTCTTTAATATTAAGAGCTTCGAAATCGATTCCGCATTAAATTCTGCATTCGCGTTATTTCATGCACGTCCTTTCGGACAGATTTCACGCACGTATGTAGGCGAGTCTAGAAGTCACGGTGGGTTTACCTATATGGGTTTGGAAATGTGCCGATCTCCAAAAGCGGCCGCGCAAAATGGACGCGAATCGCGGAATAACGACGACGAGACACGCTCTCGCAAAAGCGGGAGCGTAATTGCTCCCGCGAACTGGTTCAAAGGAGGCGCGCCTCTCCCAGGTGTGGCCTAACCGCGATAATACGGGAAGGAGATGCGGCCGGGTGGTGTGACGTCATCAGTCCGGTTTGCACGTCGGACGTCCTCGTTCGTCATTTTAAGGATACGAGGCGAGTCTACTTTCTGCAACATCGAGATTGTACGTCTACCGACGAGAAGAATTTGCGCGACAATCGACACGAGAACGCATCTTCCTATTTTTAATCTCGGAAATTCTTTATGGGGGGAAGGCTATCTTTTCTTCTTGAAATTTTGTCAGGCATGATAAATTAAGAATAGCGAAAAAAAAGTTAAAAAAAGATTCTTCACGTAATTTACTAATGAGATTATCTTTGTGAGATTTCTTGTTCATCTGAAAATTCGACCAACGTGCAGTCCAAAAAAAAATGAGGTTATTGCAAAAATTCTCACGTTACTATCTTAATCGACGGAAGTAAGCATTGAAAAGACATTAAGCTCGTTGAGCGCCCGCTCGTTAATCCACGAGACGTTAATAGCCGTTCGCTGCGGTAGATTCGCGCCTCGTCGACCTCTCGTTTCCTATTCTCGGCACGATCGTATCAAAATTACGCGCCGTGCCGTACATCGAAAATCGATAATCGTTCGTGCGAGGTACGTACCGCCACCTGGCGACTCGAATTCTTATCAGAAAAGGCGTAGAGGACGCTACGCGTCGTCGCAGGTCGATTCGGCGTTTCACTTCTAGGGAAAAAACGAAAGGTATCTAGTCGTCCTAGAGGGATGAATGCCAGAATCGAGTGGCCACGAGGGGCGAAGGGGGGCAAAGACCGATGAGGAAGAGGAGAGAGAGAGCGAAGCTCCGTACCGTGGCGAGAGCCACGACCCCAGACGAGAGATCGTACACCGTAGGACGATTCTTCGTTCTACTTTTGTTCGTGTATGTGTGTCCGTGAAGTAAAAGTGCGCGGATATGTGTATGTGTGTGCGTGCACCGTCTGCGGAGCGTAGGTAGTACGCCATATTCTCTCGGTGGGTCGGTGGCGCGACAGAGAGGAAGATAGAGGCCATCCGGACGGATGACCGAAATGCACAGCCGCGCGACGAGTGCGAGGATCGGCGGTGGACGTGGACGTGGACGTGGACGTGGACGGCAGGATCGCGTCGTTCGCACGTAATACGGGCCGTGTACGGTGCCTTTCTCGCCGTGAATCCACGGCGCTTTCGCGCGCTCCATCTCCGTATTTCTCCACGCCGTTTCTGCCACTCTCGCACGCTCTCGCTCTCTGTCCGTTTCGGTTCCTCTCCGACGGTACTGGACGGTGGCTATAACCCCGGTGCGCTTAACGTGTTACGCACACGGGCGAGTATTGCCGGAGCGAGGATGCGCCAGCGACGGCGCGTGTCACGCGTCATCGTCCCGTGACAACCACGACGACGTCGACGACGTCTGTCCGTCACGGTGTATCGTACGCGCGCACTCGCCGTTTTATGAGGCCAGGGGGAGACCACACGGACGTCGAGAGACGGAAGACAATCGGTCAATCAGTCAATCAGTCAGTCAGCCAGGTAGAGGACGGGAGCGAAGCTCCGGAGACACACGATCGGTTCTGTGGACCAGGCAGGTCGGCGCGGCCATTTTTACAACGTTTATACCGCACGATGCGGCAACCGTGCGTGCTCGTTCGATCCGCCATTCCAAACAATCGGTGCGCTACGTGCAGTGCTCGCAGGATGCGTCCGATGACGGCAGGCAGCGGTGGGACCGCTGTGCAGCGTCGACGATAGGCGCGTTCGCGTCGCGTCACGCTGCGCCAGACGACTAGCCAACCAGTCAGTCAGCCAGTTAATTGGATAGACAGACGGACAGTCGGACGCACGTACGCACGCACGCATGCACGCACGCACGCTCGCTCGCTCGCTCGCACAAGACGCGCTGCCTCCGCACACGTAAGGCGGTGCGTCTGTGACACGACGTGAGAGAGACGACGTGACGTCGCGAGGACAACGAGAGGACGACGGCCCGTGGCCGCCGCCGGTGGCAGTAGTGGTGCTGGAGCTGGTGGACGACGTCGCCGTCTCGTGCACGAACGTCGACGATAACGTCGGCAGCAACGGTGGCGAGGAAGAAGAGGAGGAAGCGACAAGGCGGAGAAAAAGAAGAAGAAGGAGGAGGAGGCGGCGGCGGCGGTGGAGGAAGAGACGAAGGAGAAGGAAGAGGGACGTGGATCGCGCGGCGATAACGTGAAGGAGGATGATAACGGCGCGCGCGACCACCGCCGCGACGTGGACGGCTACGACGGCTACGATCGCGATCGCGATTACCGCGACAATAGTAATAATCATAATTACTGCGACGAGGACGAAGCGGGAAGAAACGGAAGTCCCGTACGAACAATTCCGCTGCGCTACGTTGAACTTGTGCTTCATGCGTGCCTGTGATTCACGGTGGTGTTTAGCGAAGGCTGCTACTACTACTACTACTACTACTACTATTACCACCACCACCAGCCCATAGTGCGTAAACCGTCGATCTTTGGTGTTAGCCGTCGGATGATAATAGTGTGCCGTGAACACCTCCGTGAGAGAGTGTGTCTCGTCCACTTGTACTGCTCTCCGGCCTTCTACGCGTGCTTTGGGCCCTAAAAAGTGTGTGCTCCGCCGATCGTGCGCGGCTGTCTCACTCATCGCGAGTGCTCCGACTCGGGGTGTGCTGCTCTATCATTGTATGTGTGTGTATATGTGTGTGCCTCTCTCTCTCGCTCCTTCTCTCTAATCGCGCTACTCGTTCGTTCGCTCGCTT